AAACCCACTACACACAACGTTCACCTGTTGTTCAAGCAGGAGACATGAGTCCCAAAGGATTCCCCAACCACAAATCTGCTCCAGAGATGAGTAGCATCTGTTTATCCAAGGATAACAGCAACGCCACCTCACATGGGTTCCCTCAGAGCTTGTTCTCTCCCATCTAGCCCTGAGCAGGCTTCAAGGAGAGAACATAAAAGCATTCCTCCTGAAGTTGCAATTTACAGTTGATGTCTTCACCTTACAGATGATACAATACCCTAATTGTCAGATGACCTCACCCAGTGATTTCATCTAGCTATTAAAAAGCAGGGAGCTAAGGACCAAACTATGGAGCCATAAGTGAAGAGCTATCAGGCCCATCTCTCCTACACTGCAACAAGATTGAAACTGTCAATAGAAGAGCAGAGCTATTAAAAAAAAAATACAGGTAGTCCTCGACTTATGACCACAATCAAGCCCAAAATTTCTGTTGTTAAATGAGACATTTGTTTTGCCCCATTTTACGACCTTTCTTGCCACGGTTAAGTGAATCACTGCAGTTGATAAGTTAGTAACCCAATTGTTAAGTGAATCTGGTTTCCCCATTGACTTTGCTTGTCAGGTCACAAAAAGTGATCACATGACCTTGGGACACAGCAACGGTCATACATATGAACTAGATGCCAAGCATTTGAATTCTGATCACCTGATTAAGGTGATGCTGCAAGGGTCATAACTGAAAAACAGTCACAAGTCACTTTTTTCAGTGCCATTTTAACTTTGAACAATCACTAAATGAACTGTTAAGTCAAGGACTACCTATATCCTAATCCCCAACTTCCAGAGCTTGTCCAATAATATAACATGGTTAACAGTATGAAAAGCTGCTGAGACCTAAAAGGACAAGAAAAAATGCACCTAGAAGAGTATCTGATGCAATCTCAATCCCATATCCAGATGCCTGTCCTTTGGAAGATTATTTCTCCAGAATTTAGATTGGCTCTGACCTTGGTGGCCTTAAGAAAGGCCCTGAAGCCAGGACTCCATTACTGTGCTTGGGGTCTGGCAAAAATGGGGAGCTTTTACAATGGCTTTGTTGAGCTTAATACAAGGATGGACTTTGGTCAATGTTTTTTGTATGTTTGTATATTGGCTTTCAATGTGTTTTTACTGGATTGTTGTTTTAACTATTGTGACCAGCCCAGAGTGAGATAGGCAATTATATAAACTGAATCAATCAATCAATAAATTCTGGTAGCCCCTCCTCTCTTCCTTCCCACAGCCAGGAATTGCTACTTAGATTTTTTAAAATTCTTTTTGGTACTTTGGATATTATTTCTGCTTGGGTAATTTTAAATATGGTTCATTGCGGTCAGCCAGATGTTTAGACTGGATTTGGCATTTTATCCACCTATCAAGTCCTTCCCAATGACCTGCAGTTACATAGTAAACTGCTCCTTTTGCAATTGACCATAGTCAAGAATGGAGTGGAGTGGAACGGAACAGAATAGGAATAGAATAATCAGAGTTGGAAGGGACCTTGGAGGTCTTCTAGTCCAAACCCCTGTTCAGGCAGGAAATCCTATACCATTTCAAACAAATGATTGTCCAATCTTTTCCTAAAAACCTCCAGTGTTAGAGCATTCACAACTTCTGGAGGCAAGCTGTTCCACTGGTTAATTATTGTAATTGTCAGGAAATTTCTTCTTAGTTCTAGATTGCTTCTCTCCTTAATTAGTTTCCATCCATTGCTTCTTGTCCCACCTTCAGCTGCTTTGGAGAATAGCTTAACTCTCTCTTCTTTGTGGCAACCCCTGAGATATTGGAACATTGCTATCATGTCACCCCTAGTCCTTCTCTTCATTAAATTAGACATACCCAATTCCAGCTACCGTTCTTTATGTTTTAGTCTCCAATCCCTTGATCATCTTTGTTGCTCTTCTCTGCACTCTTTCTAGAATCTCAACATCTTTTTTTACATCGTGGTGACCAAAACTGGATGCAGTATTCCAAAGTGTGGCCTTACCAAGTCATTATAAAGTGGTATTAATACGTCACGTGATCTTGATTCTATCCCTGTTAATGTAATCTAGAACTATGTTGGCCTTTTTGGAGCTGCAGCACACTGCAGCTGCCAAATGATAATGGTGGTCAAGTAGTACTCCAGTTTTTCTGGATTTGCACCCAAGGTACCTATCAGTATTGGTATATCTTTTCTTTCTTTTGCCACAGTTATTCTATTTCTATTTTCAGGTCTTTTTATTTTGTGATTTTCTCCATTTCTTTCTCTTCTATCCTACTGCCTCCAAGTACTACTATGTTCACTATCCAGACTTTTTTATCTTTCTTATTGACAGTTGTTAAGTCCGATGTGTTATGTGTTTGAATACAAATGTCTCAGAGCACTTTAGCTTCATTTTCTCTTACTTTGTCTATTTAGTGGTCCCACCAGTTCTTGCTTAGACGCAAATGCTATTTGTTGCAGATCTTCCAATATACTATTATTGCTACTTTGTCATGCCGTTGTTTATGCATTCTTCTTGCAGCTAATAAGGTGGTCCATTGTTTCTTCAGTTTCTTTGCAGAGGTGGCATTTGCTATTTGTCATTGTCTTCTCAATTCTGGCTTTGTATGGATTTGTTCTTAAGGTTTGGTCTTATGCAGCCAGAATTAGCCCCTCTGTCTCTTTCTTCAACTTTCCTGACCTTAACCATTGCCAGTTTTTTACGGCATTATTATTGAAAGACTTTTCTTTGAAAAAACATACTCTTTGCTTTATGATATATTGTATATAAGTGAACCATTCCTGCTTGAAATTGTATATATTTCTGCTGTCAATACACATTAGTCATTCCATTTTTCCATTACTGCCCATTCTTCAGTTTAGTCTCCCAACTGTGTATTATTTGCAAAGTTTCTCTTTTCCAATGTTGTGCCAAACTGACTCTTTCTGCTATCACCGTAAGTTTTAATACAATGCTTTTTTTTTTTATATATTCTCTGAGGTCATCTATATACTACTAAAACTCTCATATCTGTTTGTAAATTTCAATTTATGTAAAATGATGTATCATAAGAAAACAATTGTTGAATTAACATACCTCAAAAGGGCTAATTTAAAGAATACATCCAGCAATGACTCCTGTGGGACTGAAATTGTCAAAGCTAAGATCGCTTCAGTGTAGCTGTGCCATTGCACTGCCATTGTTAGCCACAGTCACATAATCATAATTTCCCTGTCAGAATCCTACAAGGAAAGTCACTGCGGAAGCTGACAGGAAGTGTAAACTTGATTGTGATTGCCAATGACCCCTGCCAACTTCCCAGAAGCAAAGTCTTTGCTGTGGGAAGCTAGCAGGAAACATCAGCAATGGGGAAGCCAGCAGGGAATGTTGCAATTTATTCAGATAAGTCTCCCACTGGCTCAAATTTCCCAGCCCCTTTGTGCTCACATTAGCACTTTGCATATTCCCAGGCATGCTTTCTGTCCCATACCACACCCCTTGTATGCCATTCTCAACTCACACCACCACCTCCCAAATTGCACAGCACTTCTTATGCCACTCTGTGCAGCTTCTCAATCTATGTCATACTCACACAATTTCACCAACTCATGCAGTACCTCTTACACCCCCTCACAAGACCATCAACTTGTTTAGCTAGGGTTGGGAAATGTCTGCGAGCTTTAGGTAAAGAGACTTATCTAACAGATGGGCCTAATAGGCCACAGATTTTCTAGTACCTAATAGCAATATGTGGTCTTAATTCAACTTTTGTTTTCATGTGTTTTTTTTAGTTTTCATGTATTTCCTTCCTGTACTATAGGGATTTTTTAAAAGATAACTACTACAGATAATAAAACATTTCCTCTTTGTTATGGCATTTCCAATACATCCTTAAGTGTTGGAAATCCAAATATTTCTAGAAGTTTTTCCAAAAATGCTAAGAAAAATGAAATAATTTGTATTTCTCACAAATGCTTTGAGACTCAAGCAAAGCAAATGCAGGTAGAAAATTATTTTTGGAAATGACAAAAGTAATGGCCATATTTCCTTCAACCCAATACTATTGGTATACAACTTGCACATCCCATTTGATTAGCTCTCTCATTCCTAAGCAGCCAAAAAGTAGCTTCCATGTCTACTACCATGTCCAACCAGAGAATCAAGCAGCCATATTGGCTAGCCATTCAACTGAGATATGCACATTCACTTTATTTACAATAACTAAAATTTTTGAAAATCGAAGTATCCAACCCTCCCCCATCCAAGCAACCTCTCAGAGATGACTGGGTTGCAATGTCTCACCTCCAAAATAGTAACGAAACAGACAGGGCCACAAAGTCCACTAACCTATCTTCTACAAAGTTAGTTCCCAATGAGAAGGACAATCCAGACCAACACATACTAGCAGGGAGTAAAAACATTTGTCTCACAGCACTTCTAGAATCAAAACCTGACAGGCCCATAAACCTCCCGACCAGGCTTGTGCCAGCAGTCCATACTCTCAGCTTTTCTTTGCATTCCATTGACAGTAATGACTGTCCAAGTAGAACAAAATGGTTACACTTTAGAAAATGGTCAACCTGTTGCCTCCTGATTGTCAGAAAGGAGAATACAAGTCCAATAGTCCACAATCACCAGAGGATCTTTAACACCACAATTAAAAAGCAAGTCCAAACTCACTGGAGATTACAGAGATTATGGCAGTACCTCATAAATTTGCTCTTTAACATGGGTCAGAAGGACTCTAGTAGAACCTTTTCCAACTAACTTTTCAGGCCAGATCATCCTTCTCATTATGCAAGATCATGTGCTGCGCTCCATCTCTGACAATTGTCCAAACAAGCCCAATAAAAACAATACAGATGTTATGAGCAATGGAGCTCCCAAATCTCTGTTATTCATTCCACTGCTCAAGGAACATATCACCAAAAGTAAATGCTATAATCCAACAAACTGGCATAGGGAATGTATCAAAGGCCTTATCTGATGCCACCTTTTAAAAAAACTTTGTCCTTTTGAGTGTATTCCTTTTATTTCTTTCCACTCTTTGTATTTGTCCATAAACTGTATTTATCTGACTTTTCACAGAAAAGTTATTAACTAAATCTGAGCCATCCAATGCAGTAAAGGTATCTCAGAATTCAAAGTGTGTTTTTGATATAATTTCTGAATCCCTTCCACATAATATTGTTCCAAATTAATCCATGAATTGCTGTCCCCAGCTGCTTCTCTGACTGATTAAGATACCTACAGCAATACATTTGTTTATTTAAATGTCTATTTCAGTTTCTGGGCAGCTGTTGCTTAAAAGAAGCATACCAGGCATTTTCCACTTTGTAAAATTTCATTAATTACCTAATGATTCACTTAAAAGGTATAGAAAATTATCCTCTTACATTCTTCCAATGTCTTTCCTCCTAAAGAAAAAACTTAAGAGACTTAGTTCAACTCCATGGCTAATGACTGCCCAGATTCTGCTTAAAAATTTCCACCCTAAGTAAATGCCATTTGAGGCAATCTACAGTATTGCATTGGTAAGCAATTGTCACTGTCGGGAAGTTTTTTCATGTTGCAAATAGGCTGCCCTACTTTGAAGCACTTCCGACCTCTTGCCTGGATAGTAAAATGAATATGGTGCTCATCGTAGACCATTCCTCTTGCGCCCACCCCACCCTACCTGACCCAGCTCCGATGATTCACGGAGCTATGTCTGAAGTAAGTAATCAATTATGGATACAAGTTTTGTATAAAACACGCCATTATAACCCCAATTTAATCCCATCTCCATGTTTTTTTCCATGAAAAACACACCTGAAATTAAAATCTAAAAATTATGAAGTTTTCTCACCTAGTTGGTTAGAGTTTCTGAGCAAAAGTTCAGTATATAGACAGTTGTAAACATTATACTGTACTTTTGAGTTATATATTTCTTTTAATAATCCATATTAGAACTATGAAGATGGAACTATATAGCTTTTTATACTATATACAAAACATTTAACCTACCTTCTATTTAAGTACAACTAGAGAAGAGTGGACAAAAACAATTCTACAAACTTCATCCTAAAAAATTTTCTGTAGTTAACTTTATATAATCTAGTAAGTAATTTGTCACAGTATCTTTGAAAGTGCCAGTTCTGTGAGCAGTGACAGAACTCCCATCAGATATTGGGCATGGTGAATCTGTTAAAAAAGAAAAGAGATACCATTAGATCCATGGAAACAATAAGCAAACAAAAAATCGTCAACATTCTCATTTTGGCCTCACTTTTAATCTAGTCTCAAACATTAAAGAAAGCTAAATTTATTTACCAAACCAATATGCTACCCATCTCACCAAAGGCAACTCTAGGTGGCTTACAGACATTGAATAAAATGCAATATAAAACATTAAAACAATAAAGATGTTAAATTTAGAAATTCAATTAAAATAAAACTAAGCAGAATGAAGAGGGAGGGAGCAAAGTGCACATAAGGAGATGGGGTGTTCGCTACTCCATTAGCCACCTCCAACATGCTTACACCCCCATTGGGGGCCCTGGGTGAATTGGCACCAAAGCCTTTCAAAAGGCCAAAAGTGTGGCAGCAGATCTGACCTCAGGGAGCAAGATGTTCTAGAGGGCAGGAGCCATGGCAGAAAAGGCTTACTGGACCTAGCAGCCAAAATTACTTGACTGATGGGGTCTGCAGCTTGCCTCTTCTGCCAGCACTTTAAAAGCTTAAAACAAAACATTATGTGCTTAATACCATGTTTGCTTTTACAGGTAGTCCTTAACTTACACCCATAATTGTGCCCAAAATTTATGTTGCTAAGTGAAACTTTTGTTAAGTGAGTTTTTGCCCCATTTTATGACTTTTCTTGCAACAGTTGTTAAGTGAATCATTGTAGTTAAGTTAGTAACATTGTTAAATGAATCTGGATTCCCCATTGACTGTGCTTGTCAGAAAGTTCCAAAAGGGCATCACATGACCCCAGGACACTGCAACTGTCATAAATGAGTCAGTTGCCAAGCATCCAAATTTTCATCACATGACTAAGGGGATGCTGCAACAGTTGTGTGAAAATTGATCGTAAGTCACATTTTTCAGTACTGTTGTAACTTTGAACAGTCACTAAATGAACTATCGATACAAGATAGCTATAGCAGAAAGAAAAGTGTTCCATATTCTACAGTAAGGTTAAAAAATATGAAAATTTGAAGACATTTTTAAAAGCCGCAACTTTCTCTTTCAGATACTGAGTGGATAATGGAACCAACATGTTTTGGTTTGTAGTGGGATAAGACACCCCCCCCCCATGAATCTTTCAGCCCTATCAAGGTTGCCACAGTCCATTCTGCAGGAACAAAACAGCAGCAGGGGGCTTGCAGCTGCAGCAATCTTGCTTTGATTCTGAAGATAGAGTAAAAATGGATAGCACTTTTTAGGTCATTCAAACATATATACCCATGTCTACTACTCTTCGTTAACTATTTGCAGATGACACTGCTGGGGGAAAAAACTGCATATGATCAGAGGTGCCTAATGCCATTAGAGTATACTTCCCAAACATTTCTTTTTAAAGCAAATTCATATAATTATTATTGATCAGAAAAGCAAGTTTGCATACCTTTATTTTTCCCAATGAATGGATAGAGGCTACAGATGTAGAAACTTTCACTAGCTGTGTAGATGATAAATATATCTTGAAGTGCCTATGAAAGTGCTTGTAAAGGGAGTTCATGAATAATTCCACTTCTTTCTGCTTAACTTCTTCATGGGTACCGTGTATTGAATCCCAGAGAGCTTTTGCATCTTCAGGATGGATAGCATAGGAAATATCCAAAGGATAAGGTAGACATGGCACAGAGAAAGTCAGTTCTGTTGCCTTGGTATAGTGGTCCATACTGCATCCAGACCATACTGCAGCCATCCATGCAAGATGGATAGGAGTGATATGCAATGGACTGAAATAGCAATCAAATGTTTCCTGAAGCCATGTTTTAACAATATTTGAGAAACCCTGTGCACCATTTACAAGGAATAAAGGCAAACAAGTAAAATCCTCTGAGAGAGTCTCAACAAAATCGCTTGTACAAGTGTAACATAAACAACCCATCCATACCACCTTCTTTTCTTCTTCTTCTTCGTCATCATCATCTACCATTTGAGGTCTCTGCATAATCTAAAAAAAATTATGAATACATACATTCATGAATACATTACAATTCTATGAAATTGAGATAATTTCTGAACTTACGATAAACACATTAATAAATAAGTTATTCTTTAATAAAAGTTATACTTACTGAATTTCATACCGTACTGTATCATATAATACAGATTCAAAATGATCAATTTCTTAATACATGGATATTTTTCAGGGATTCTATTGGATTTATGTGAATGTACACCCTCTGAAGCTACCCAGTATTACAATCCTAAAGAACAATTTTCAAAACAAATAATTGGAAGATTTCCCCCCCCCTTTCCAATAGTGTCCAATTCTGGTATACTGTCTGGACAAGTTCCTGCAGTTTTCTTGGCAAGATTTTTCAGAAGTGGTTTGCCATTGCCTCCTTCCTAGGGCTGAGAAAAAGTCACTAGCCCAAGGTGATACAGCTGGCTTCTGCCTAAGCAAAATTAGAATTCACAGTCTCTTGGGTCATAGCCTGCTACTTTAATCACACCATCAAACTGGCACTCATTGGCAGATAACCTTTGGTAACTATAGGAACCTACAGATTCAGAAGCAGCATATTGCAAAATACCACAACAGGTCCAAGTTGTTCCCCTTATGACTGTTCAGAGCTGCATAAGTATATAGTTATTAAAAAGCAAGAAGATATCGGAGCAGAGGTTTGTTGGATTTGTTTCTGGATTTGTTTCATGCTGGATTTGTTTCATGCTGCTTTCCCAACAAAACCTGAATTTTGTAACCTTTCCAACTCATAAAGCTTGCACAAAGAAGTTTTGCTGCTTTGTGTGTGTGTGTGTGTGTGCGCGCGCGCGTACAAATATACATTTTTTCATCTTCCTTAATGGATACAATAATCTTTCAAGAAAAAATATTTTAGATTACCTGGGTTTGAATCATCTGGTAAAAAAAAACCCAGGAGTTAATTATAAAACTTTAATACAGATATATATAGCCACTGTAGATGGATAAACAAAATTATCTAGAACAAAGTTTTTATAACCTGCTCACTGTAATATCTTTCAAAAGTATCAAGACAAACCCAGTTAGTAAAAGATTGGATTAGTTACCTACTAGATAAGACTACATACCTCAATAAGAATTGCTGCTTGTTTTTTTTCTGTTTTCAAAACAGAAAATGAAGAAAATTTCGCTTGAAACGGCAGATCAGTTTCACCTTCCAGTATGAATCTCTTTTCCTTTTGTGCAGTAATAACATTACTTAGTTGTTTAGAATATTCTTGCAATTGTCCATAAGAGAATTTATGCAGAGGAGTGACGCTATATAAGGTCCACTGTTTAGTTATAATGAACCGTATCTGATAACCAGCTTCCTCCTGGAAAAAAAAATTATAAATGCAAAAAATGTAACTCAGATCTATATTTTCCTGTCATAGTTTACAAAGCAAAGAAAACATTATTACAAAGAATTTATATAATACTGTGTTATTTTTTTGTACCTTTCTATTTTATAATGTTATCTACAAAAATATTGCTTTTATGGCTCAGAAGATAGCAAAAACAGAGAAAAATAAAAAGGAAAAAAATATATCACTTCCCCTTTATTAACAGAATAAAGGAATCTATATTATACAACTGATTTAAAATAATATCAAAAGCAGGTAGTATATTTAGTAAATATTTTTACATATATAGACAGGATTTACACAGCATTTTAAGTCATATTTTTTTCAAAAATTAAACACTGTACATTATGCTTTTCCTCATTCTTTTTTAAAAAAGCAATGTTAAAGAAAGCACAACAAGTGCAAGAATTACTTAAACCAAAGAAGCAACAGTCCTGAGATGAAAAGAAAAGGAGCAGTTAAAAATAGCTTACATCAATACTATATTTTTGCCTATATTTTTTACATCAATACTATATTTTTGCCTGCCTTAGTCTTGCAAACCATCCTTGCTTCTATGTCTATCCACCACCTCATCCATTGCCTGTTGTACTTCAATATTCCGATATATTTTCTTGAGGATATTTTTCCCAATCTGGGAGGCCAAATCCACCTCTTTCTTTCGAATCTTGTAGAACTTTGAATTTGATTCTCGGTTTTTTCCCTTGCCAAATAAATTTAGATATAGTTTTATTTAAGTTTCCGAAAAACTCCTTTCCTAATCTAATTGGAATAAAAAAAGTAATTTAGGTAGTACGTTCATCTTTATTATTGTGATTTTTACCATTCATCTTCATTGCATCCATTGCATCAACATTTGCTGCAAATCATTCAGCCTATCAGCCAACTGCATATTATCTGCATATATATTCACATCACCAGAATTATTTCTGGTATATATATATATTGCATCATTGAATATATATATATATATATATATATATATATATATATATATATATACACATACATATATATATATATACACACACACACACACACACACACACACACACACACACACACACATATATATATATATATATATATATATATATATATATATACACACACACATACACACACTTAACTTTTAGCATATCACATTCAGCAGCCAACCCAACTCCAGAGAATACTTGTCATGATGAGTAAATTTGTGGATGCCTACCCTTAGAGAGTAATTTAAATTGCTTAAGAGTATTTAAAAGCTGCTTCCTCTTCAAACATGTTGCCAGTTACATTATATTCAGTTACACTCTTCATTGTTCCTTACCTGTAGATCAGGATTTTGTGAAATCATTATCTTAGCTGGAGTCTGACCAAATAACTTTCTTTTCTTGAGGGATAGCATACCTCTTGAAAGATAGGCAGTATTTGTAAGACTTGCTCCATAGTCTGTAGTTGCTCTTCCAACAGTTTTCATTCTCCTGTAATTAGAAGTGCTAGCATCCTGTAAACAGATTATCTGTCATTAGACAAACATGTTACACAAAATAAGAAAATCTCATCTCATAGATAGATTGATATGTTGTACTGACATAATACATGAATCAGAAAATAGCAAACTATTTTTTAGCATATAATGGTGTACAGTACAAATCTGGCCAGTTGCTTCTATAAATTCATAACCACCATACATAACTTTGGTGTATTATGATCATAAAGCTTCTTTTATCTGTTAAAGTAAGAATGGAATTAATCAAAATAATCTGGAGCATTTAAACAACAGAGGAAAGATGAGCCTTTTAAAAATATCATTACAAAAGAGGCAGTGCAACATCATGTGAAGGATAAATTCACCTGAATCTGCTAATTAAAGGAATGTTGTTGAATCATTCATTAAAAAATGCTGAAAATAATTTCTGGCTCTGGAGAACTACCTTTGTTGGACTGGAGAAATGAGTTATCAGACAGACAGCAACTTTATTATGACCAAAGACCAGCATAAATATAAAAAACACAAGGCACAACTCTCTTCCACCGTGTCTTGGGAACCCAGATAACTGTATGGAGTAACCATTCTTACGGTTACTGGGCAAACGTGGAGGGTCCAAGTTTGGAGAAAGACTTCCCGCAGTTACCCCTCAAACGATTCCTATCGGGGCGGCTAGAAAACGTAACACCCGCAGGCCTCGTCTTACCCTTCGGCGATCACGCGCCGTCGACAACCGCCGGGAAGACATCTCTCCCCAAACTTTCAGAGAAAAAAAAAGTCAGCAATACTTAACATCGAGGCGCGCGATTTTTTTTCTTTTTTAAAAAATTGTCTCCCGATAGCCAGTTCGGCAATGGGGATTGTTGTGCGCATGCTTTGGAATACGGGGCGCGGTTTACGGCGCGTGATCGTTTCGGTTCTATGATTTGCTATTGTCAAGTTCGGGCGTGGAACCGAGGAAGTGCCTCATGCCGAAAGTAATGTTTGTCGGAGGAACCGCCTCTGAAGTGGGGCTTGGAGCCTGAAGTTTAGCTTTCGTTCTTGTCTTATATTGGCCGGTGCCTCGATTTACTGGCCAAGACCATGCGACGGCTACATGCCCTTTATCGTCCCCTGGAGCTATTATTTCCCGGAGGAAGAGCTAAGTCGTGGAGCAGGCTGACTTCTTGCAGATTGGCGTCGTTCAGAATGGGTGCGACCCACCCAGGTCTGTAGCATCCTGGGGTAGCAGTAAGGTCGGAGGTTTGGATAACGTTTTCCTCGCCGATGGCAAGTTGCTTGTTAATTTCAGACTGGCCTTAGCGAAACTAAGGGACTCGCTCGCTCCCTAAATAGAAAATAATAACTACTCTGCTAAAATTATGTTGCTGATTTGGATGTGTTTTCAATCATCAATCGATCTTAATGTACAGACTTGGCCAATATTGGAAAACCTATGTAGGGTCAGCCCTGAGAATAATTTTCAGATTTTGAGGCTAGATTGGGAAATAACACATAAATCTCAGGAGAGGGCTATAGCCGACCACTTCTATGTTAGGGTTTTAAAAACAATATCGATATTTTAATGAAGTTGTTCATACTTTCTGATTTTTTGTTGAGATGATCAACATTTCAACATAACTTTTTGGTAACTGTTCTTTGAAATTTTATAAGCTTGTGCTTGTGCCATCAACAATGATATCTAGCCCCTGGTTCTTTTTTCTCTTGCTTGTATGTTATGTGTTTGCAATAGTTAAGCTTTAGTTTCATTACAGGATGCAAACTTCCAGTGAGGAGCCTGGTTCTATTGGTTATTTTTGTTTTCTTGCAAAAATAATACCCATAACCATTTTCTCCAGCACAGTAATTCAGAAGCAAGTTATTTTTATTTCATTCAGCCTTTTTGATAATCTGGCTTTCACAATTATGTTATAACTGGGAAAAGCATGGTGTTGACATTTTCCTCCATATCACTGTGCTGTCTCAGTGCTTTAATATTTTGATTAGATTTGTTACAGCCTTTCTTCCAGAAAGACTCTCGTTATTTCATAACTAAAATCATCATCCCTATGAATTTCTGGCACTTCAACACTTTCACCATTTATTTCCACTGGCTTAACCTTGCTTATTGACATAATCTTAGTTGGTTGTTTTAGTATTGATCAGTAGACTGGCTTTTGCACTGTCTTTCATTTCAGTAAGGGGTATCTTAAATCTTCATTTCCAACCAACAAGGCGGCATCATCAGTACATGTGAGGACGTTGTTGTTACTCCCAGCACTTTTAATTCCAATTTCTATTTCTTCTCATTTCTCACAATTTTTTCTGCACATTAGTTAAACAAGCCTCATTCATGTTCTTCTCAGTTCTGAAACATACAGCTGCTCCATATTCTATTCTAATTGTTGCTTCTTGAATGAAGCTTTATTATCATGTTTATTCATAAAAATCATATTACTTATCCTAATAATTTTTGTTGGACTGAAAAAAAATTGTTGGTACTTTTACACATTTTATGAATTAACAAAATTTTATCCCAAGATGTCAATAGCTTTGTTGCCCGGTCCAAAACCTGTGGGGAGTTGCGATCAGCTCATATAGGTCAAGAGGTCACTCTGTGTGGATGGATTCAATATAAGAGGTAAATTGAAAATAAAATGACTTGGAATGGTTAAGTTGCTGATGCTAAGAAAAGGTTAAAATAATGGTGTGCATGAGTAATGTTGCTTTACTACATCAGACTCTGTGATATACAAATATATTCTGGTATCTTGTTTCTATTCCCACAGAAAATATAGAACTAGTGCTTAACCTACAACCATGTTAACTTACAGTGGTCAACAACTGTTCTAAATTATGACAGTGCTGAACAAATGGTGGTTACATTTGTTCCTCAGTGTTTCAGACATCCCCACACTGCTGCAGTCATATGGGTGCAGTCTAGGTGCTTGACATCCCATTTGCACTTACAACAGATTGCCAAGTACCCCGTGATCGCCATTTACAACCTTCTCTGCTGGTTCCCCAGAAAGTCAGTGGGGAAGCCAGCAGAGAGGGTCATAAGTCACCAGGATAAATTTCCCCCACTTACACACTCTCCCCCAACCCTTCTACCTTTGTATGACATCATCTGCTTGCACAACCCCATGCACTCTTCTCAACCACCCCCATGCCCTTCTGACCTACATATCATGTACCCTCTCTGACCTGCGCTCACACACCTTTCCCAACTGACACCACACCTCTTACACACCTCTGTGCTCCCATCTCAACTTGCAACACACTTTTTGTACACCCGCTCACACTCTCTCTGACCTGTGCTACATCTTTTGCACACACCTTTGGACACCTTCATTGGCCTGCATCTCTCATGCACTCTCCCTGACCTGTGCCACACCTCTCACATCCTGTACATCCTCCCTGATCTGCAGGGTGCCTTTTGTGTGTTGTCCTTAAAGCATGGTGGTGGAAATGTTATCATTGGGGCTGTTATGGGTTGCACACCATCATAGAAATTACTACAAATTCTTCATTGCACCAAAGGGTACTGAAGCGTAATGTGAAAAGGTTGAAGCTCATTGGACAATGGACTTTGCAACATAACAATGACCCCAACATTCTGGTAAAACCACCAAAGATGGGCTGAAAAAAAAAAAAAGAAATGGATGATTCTGAAATGACCAAGTCAAGGGATCTAAATCCCATCAAGATGTTGCGGGTTCATTCCAGTCAATATCAGGGACTGGTACATTGCTATAAGAAAGGCCTACATGAGGTTGTTTCTGCCAAAGGGACAAAACCAATTATTAGAGCTAAGGGTGTACATATTTCTTACATAAAAGGAAATGGCAAATCTGTTTATTTTTGTTGAATAAATGATTGAAAGTCAACTTTTATATTTTTATTCAATTACATCATCTTTATATAACTGAATGAAGATAAAATATTGATGTTTGCATATGTTTCAAAAAAAACTTTTGCGGTATACTGTACTTCCATGTGACTTGTATGTCTGATTGCTCCATTTTTGTCTGTGAGGGAGCTGTCATGTCAATGGGCAATAATCTACCCTTAAGAAATAGAATTTTCTTCTCTATACTAATTCTTATGCCTGTACAAAAATCTGGTTAAGAAATTTGAAATACGTATGCATATATACATACATACAAACACACACAAACAGAGAGAGAGAGAGAACTTAAGTGAATTAAGGAGCAGGGTCAAATTCTTAAGTTAAAAGTAATGTTCAGACAATATATCTTTGAATGTTCCCTATAGTCTTGCTGCATGTGAAATGCTTATATATCACATAAAAGTGTCTAGTCGAGCTGTCCTCTTGCTCGCAGCTGTTCTGTGACTAGGCATTGTTTACATGTCATTGGAGAGCTCCGCACTGCATACTCATGAACTCCAGGCAGGGGTTGAATCTGAAGCTACTAACATGTCTACACATCTGTGTCTCCTATCTTTAGACAGGAACAGTTTGTGGTTTTGAGAGATTTCCAAGGACTTACCCAGATACTCATACCTCAGGAAGAGGTAAGTGCTATTGAAAACTGCTTTTGTAGTTTTTTGCTAGGAAGCCAACAAGCATTGCATCAAAACAAATATATAAGTAGTCCTTGGCTTACAACCATTTAATCAGCAACCATTCAAAGTTACAATAACACTGAACAAATGATAGTTACAACTAGTCCTCAGTCAGAATTCCAGCAATCTGGGTACTTGGCAATCGGCTCACACTTACAATCTATTGCAGTGTCCTGAATTCACATGAACCTGAAATTCAGTGAGGAAACTAGCAGGGGAAGTCACAAGTTGCTGGAATTAGTTTCCCCAACCTGTGCATCCTCCCCAAGCTTCAAACGGGCCTCCTTCACACATCCTCCCTGGACTTCATTGCACGTCTAAGGCTTCTTTCTGAGCCTTCTCTCATAGCCCCCCCAACTCTTGTCGTGTCTCCTTCATGTACCCTCCAACTCTCCCTGTGCCTCCTGCACACCTTACTGCGCCACCCCTGCATTCTAATAGACCCTTCCCAACCCTTCCCTCTACCCTTGTCTCTCATGTAACTCCTGACTTGCTTGTGGGAAGTCAACAGGAAGTTGCCTTACCTGATGACTGTGGGATTCAGTTAACAGGACAACTGGGATTGCAGGGATTGCTGTTGCTAAGTGTTGCAATTGTGGTTTACAACTGCATCACTAAGCAATGGAAATTCTGGTTTCATTTTTTGTTGTAAGTTGAGGATTACCTATAATGTTCTAGCCACACTGATTTGGAATACTAATGAGCATATGTTACTGGAATTTTTATTTTGCTCTTTTTAAAGTTACAGTTCATATATAATTCATTTAGTAAGCATACTTTTAAAATTTACATTGAAATTAAATTAATACAGGCTCTTGAAATGAATTTTATTATTTAGAAAAGAGTTATGACTTTTCAATGCACACTCTCTCTTGTAACAGTTAATATTGTAAATATCCATACCTACACGCACAGCTTATAGTTCTTCATATAATTTGTTAAAAGTTCAGTCTTATAGTCTACAGGGAAATAAAGAATATTGCAAAACATATCTGAAATATGCATCTAGAATGAAAAGCACTTAATTTCCACATTAGCATTTCAATTTTATTCTTACCAATTGTTATTTGATGTAATCTTTTTGTAAAGAATTTTGGATGAGATAGAATTTGTTCTGATCCTGAAAAGTTCATTGGAATTAATGTTTCAAACAAAAAGATTTTATCTCACTTTTTATTTAGAGCTTGTGACATCAGACATAACACTTTTTTTTCTCACCAATAACCCAGTGAGGTAGGTTGAGCTGAGAGAGAATTGGCTTCTAAGGCTAAGGATAGACTTGAACTTGGTTCTCTCTGCTCCTAGTCTGACACCTTAACTTCTACCCCACTTTGGTTATCTCAATAAGCATTTTAACAAATAACATTTATTATTTATTTATCACATTTTGGAACCACCCATCTCCCTTACAGAGAGATTTTGGGTGGTGTACAATAAAATATTAAAATATAAAAACAGTATATAAAAGTTAAAATTCAAAAAGAGGCAATGATGTTTTTAAAAAATGATAAAATTAATTAAAGGACAAAGGGAGGGCTTTCAAGTGCCATTTAATTGCCAGACTGAAATTGGCTGATAACCACCAGATATAATGCATTTTAAATCTGTATTGCTGGCACTCTTGAATTATGCATATTCTGATTTGTTTGTTTCTTGCACTGCAGGCTGCTTCCCATTTGAGGAAGCTCTTTTCTGATGCTCCAGTTGAGTCTGTTGTACGAGTGACTGGGATTGTTATTCCCCGGCCTCCTGGACAGGCAAATCCTGTAAGTATTTTAAGGAGGAGCCCTCTGCTTTTAAGTGAGTACAGTGTATTGCTTTGGGCTATCAAAATGATTTCCTAATTTGCACATTTTCATTTGCCATGTAAGTGACTTGGAGATAGCATGGGAGCACAATTTGGTGAACAACTGTCTGCTTCTGTAACTGATAGCTGTAATTATAATGGTAGCTGCAGAGTCATTCTTGTTTTCTTGGCAGCTATTTGGTTTAGAAGTATCTTTCTTCAGCTCAGCATTATAAAAGTCTTCTGCTCTCTCAAAAGACACCACAATTTCTGCCTTAATGTCTTCTGTGCTTGGAATTTCCAGGCAATACACCTGCACAGTATCACTTTTTATGCTTTCTTCACATCTCTCCTCAAATGCACCCTCATTTCCCAGATCGGTTGATTTCTATGCTTTGTAGCAGGCAGATCTTCTGTGTCTATATGGATTCTTTCTAATCTGCAGTAAAGCAACTTGTTTAGCAGTAGTAAGCCCTTGAAGTTTCTTTTTTGTCTGTTTTTTGAATGTAGGATTGAAATTTTAAAAAAAGAAAGATTTATGGCTGTGCCTGGCTGATAATCTGACAAATTTATCCTCAGGGCAGAGGTCTTTTTTTATTGTTCTCTGCAAATTACTGACAATACTGCAAAATAATTATAATTTTTTTTTTTGGTAATTTTTTTATAATTCAGACAAGCCAAGAAGACCATGCTTTCTTTCCTTTCCCCAAGCCTGCTCTTGTCTGGCCCATTAAGTTGTGAGTTAAAATGGGTAAGCAGAGAGATGTTGACTTGAGGTTTAGTAGCTCCAGGTCTGTGAAGCTCAAATAAACTCTTGGTCTCTTAAGCTCCAAGTTTGTGAAGGGAAAATGGAAACAAGGTTCTGCATTTTGCCAAGCTAAATTATCCTACCACCACACTATCTGGTTAAAAACTCAATGAATATATTTTCTGGGCACAATAAATAGAGCTGTTTAATTTTTTTAAATTAAAGTGATCTCTTTCAATTTATTTAGAGGATGCAAACTGGAGATATTGAAGTAAAAGCAGAAACTGCAGAGGTTCTGAACTACTGTAAGAAACTACCATTTGAAATAAAAGATTCCATCAAGGTAGATATACCTTTCTTATTTCTGTTTAGTGTGCTATATCCACCTTATTTCTGCCCAATGGGTTAGGTTTAGGGTTAGGTTTAGGATACAATACAATACAATATACACAATACAACAAAATACAATACAGTACAATATAAAAAATGGAAAAAGGGACACATAACTAAAGCAAAATAGCAACATATAGCCCGAATCTACAAAGATAAAGTCAAGAAAGCTAAGACTCAGAATGAACTAAGACTTGCAACAAATGTCAAAAATATTTTTTTTAAAAAATCCTTTCAACATGTAAAACACAAGAAAAAAGTCAAGGAACTGATTGATTTACTAATAGGAGAAGAGGGCAAGGAGGTCACAAGCAATGGAGAAAGTAGAGCTGCTTAATTTGTCTTTACATTTGTCTTTACGCAAAAGAAAAAAACAGTCCAACTATCAAAAACAGTACCATAAAAGACATTAAGAATACAAGTCGGGAACTTCCGGTGGATCAGCGTGGGCGATGGCGGCTACCTTGTAGCCGTCCTCCTGGGTAAGTGTATTGAATCGCTATGAACAGCGGACATCAGCTGTTCAGCGGTTCAAAATCCCCCTCCCGGGCAAAGGGGGGGGGGAAGAGGGTTGTCTGAATAGTGGTAGAGCCTCTTATGCACCCCCAATATTTTTTTGGGGGGTGAAAAGAATGCTCCCACGGAGTTCAGACTGTCTCCGCTTCCCAGCTGCTTTTGTCCCTAGGGACAAAACAAGCCGTTGCAACCACCTCCGCGATTAAAGAGATCTGGTGAGTTTTTCTTAGAAGCGGACAGAGTTGACTAGAGGATTTAGCTTTTGCTTCCTTTGATTTTACTTGGATTTTAAGTTTAAAGACTTATTTTTACGTTTATATTCCCTCTTTTTACTTTTTACTTTTTGCTGAAAGGGAAAGTAAAATGGTGATCGGCAGGCTTTCCGGCGTTCTTTTTTTTTTTTCCTTTTCTTTTTTCCCTTTGGGAAGGTAGAATAGCGATTGGCAGGCTTTCTGGGGTTTTTCCTTCCCTTTTTCTTTTTTTTTCTTTTGAATGATTGGAATGGATGTTTTAATTTTCTTTTTTTTGTTTGTTTTGTTGAAAGGGAAAATAAAATGGCGATCGGCTTTTTTGGATTTTAGAAGCATTATTATTTTTGTTTAACTTTTTTGTTTTGTCTTTTGTATGTTTTTTTAAAAAAAATGGAATGGATTTTTTTTTTAACTCCCTTTGATTTTATTTGGATTTTTAGCTTAAAGATTTATTTTTATTTTTTATACTCCTTTTTATTTTTTTTCTCCCTTTTGTTGAAAGGGAAGTTTTTCTTTCTTCCTTTCCCTTTTGTTTTTTAACTCCTTTCTTTTTATTATATGATCTCTTTCCGAAGGATTTTTTGATTTTTTGGAGTTAATCTCTCTTTTTCTTTTGTTTAATTTTTGTAACTTTTAAGAAGGAGTAGATTTTTTTAAGAAGGCCCCAAAGTGTTTAGTATTTTCTTTGTTATAATGATCTCCTTTTGAAGGACTTTTTGAATTTTTTTTTGGATTTAATCTCTCTTTTGCTTAACTTTTGTAATTTTTAAGAAGGAGGAAAGATTTTTTTTTTAAGATGGCTCCAAAGCGTCTAGGGATTCCTACAGCTCCTAAAGTGGCTTCTTCTTCAGTGTTATCATCAGTGCAACAATCTAAATCAATAGCTTCACCTTCTTCCTTGGTCCAGCCAATAATTGTGAAGGATTTGCAAGATATGATGGGAAATGTTATATCTCAAATTAGGGCAGAAATGAAAGAGATTTTAGAGGAAAATAATAAGATTTTGAGGCAAGAGATAGTTTTGGTTCTAAAAGGAGTTGCCTCTGTTCTTGAAAAGCTGAACTTCCGTGTGGAAGAGGTAGCTGAAAAAGTGGAGTTGATGGAGGGAAAACTTGAAAGCATGGGAAAAAAATGGAAAATGAGATTCTTATGCTTCAATATGGACAAATGGAATATGCCTTAAGAATCAGAGGCTTGGGAGAGTCCTTGCAAGGAGATCTGAGAGAGATGGTTGCAAAGGACTTTGCTGTGATTTTGAATAAAGATAAAGAGGAAATACTTAGTGAAATTGAAAAATTATTTAGAGTTAATTCTGTGGTGGCAATGCAAAAGAATTTGCCAAGAGATGTGGTAATTTACTTTGGGAAAAGATCCCTGCGCAATGAAATTATACAAGCTTTTTATAAGAAGAGATTTCAAATTGGTTCACAAGATGTTATAATCCTAAAGGAGATCCCATCTAAAATTTTAAGAAGAAGAAAGGAGTTTGCTTTTTTAGCAGATGAACTTAAAAAGAGACGAATCTTGTTTAGATGGGATGTTCCTATTGGAATGGTGGTGAATTACTTGGGGATATGTTATAGACTTAATACTGTTTCTCAAGCAAAAGATTTTTATACTTCGGTCCTGGGGGTATGTTCATCGCCATCTATTAAGTTTAAAGTTTTGGAAGAAAAGAAGGTAGAATTGCAGTTTGAAGAGCCTATACTTATGAAAATTGGGAAACCTCAATTTGAGGGGCCTCAACAAGTTGAGATGGAGGAGCAGAAGATAACCTGTGCAACATATAATTGTAAAGAAAAGCAGCAACAGAAGAAGGTTAAGGAAGCCTCACAACTATTGGGTTCTGAATCTGCGGGAGAAGTAGGACTTATAAATTTTTGGGAGCAACCTTCAAGGGTAAAATTGTTGTCTGAAGAGCCTATATTAATGAAATATGGGAAATCTCAGTTTGAGGGGCTTCAGCAAGCCGAGAGGAAGGAGCAGAGGACAACTCGTGTAACATATAACTGTAAAGAAAAAGATCAACAGAAGAAGGAGGTTAAGGAACCCTCACAAGTATTGGCTTCTGAGTCGGTGGGAGAAGCAGGACTTATAAACTTTTTGGAGCCACCTTTAAGGGTAGATTTCAAAGCACTTCTTTCGAGATATAGGGATAAGAGAGACTGATAAGGATTATATGGACAACAGAGACTGATAAGGATTGTGCTTTTTGTGGACGGAATTTGTTATTGGTAAAGATTTAAATGTGTATAAGGGAACTTTAATGGTTTATGGATAAGAGAGACTGATAAGGAATGTGTTCATTGTGAATGGAATTTGTTATTGGTAAAGATTTAAATGTGTACAACCGAATTCTAATGATATGAAAAGGTCTAGAGTATACTATAATGTGTTTAATGATTGGGGTTTTTTTTAATTATTATTATTATTACTATTCTTAAGATGGAATTTGTTATTGGTATAGATTTAAATGTGTACAAGGGAATTTTAATGTTTTAAGTTTTAAGTAATGTTCAAATTTGTGTCTTGGAGGGAGTTTATAAAGAATGATGGATAATAACGTAAGTAAGATATGAAAAGGTTCAGAGTATATTATAATATGTTTAATGATTGGGGTTTTTTTAATTATTATTGTTATTTTAGATAAGAAGTTTAAGTTTAAGTATTTAGTTTAAGTATTCAAAGAGTATTTAGTTTCAATGCTACAATGAAGGTTTATATGTTTATTTTTCTGTTTTAGGATAAAGAAAGAGGGATAGACTGGATTTTATATTGTAGGTACAGATGTTCAAAGAAAGTAATGTTTAAATTTGTGTTTTGGAGGGAGTTTATATAGAATGATGGATAATAATATAAGTATGATATTAGAAAATGTCTAGAGTATATTATAATGTGTTTAATGATTGCAATTATTATTTTTTAGAGAAGATAATCTAGTTAATTTAATGTATTTAGATCTTTTTAGGATTTATATGTGTTTTAAGTTTTTCTTTTCTTTTTTTGAAAAATTTTAATTAAGCCTGTACTCAACTCTGGGAAGGTTGGGGGAGGGTTTGGGAGGTTTGGGGAGGTGGGGGAGGGTATGGGAGGGTGGGGGGGTTCGGGAAGGGGATTCGTTTTGTAAAAATTTAAAAAATTTTCAATAAAAAAAAAAGAATACAAGTCAAGAATTGGTAAGATTCTTGGCAAGAAAATGGTAAGATAACACCTATCCACTCTAGATAAGTTTAAATCACAGGACCAAATGGATTACATCCCATAGTTCTGACATTGCTGGCAGACATGATCTTGGAATCACTGGACCATATTTTTCAAAAGTCCTGGAGCACAAAGGAACTACCAGAGGACTGGAAAAGAGCTGATTTGGTTCCCATCTTCAAAAACGGGGGGAAATGGATCCAGAAACTACAGACCAATCAGCATGATATCAGTACCTGTGAACATGAGTTTATCAAAAACAGGTTATGTGAGACAAACCTTATTGCCTTTGACAAAATGACTAAATTAGAGGACCAGCGAAATGCTGTAGACATAGTATATTTGGACAAGGCATTTGACAAAGTAAACTACAACCTATTTCTTGGTAAGAGAAAAATGTGGGATAGACAGCATCACCACCAGATCGATTTGTAATGCTGAACATGTGCATTCAATGTGTAATCTTCAGTGAAACTACATTTACATGGAGGGAAGCATGTAGTAAGGTACTCCAAGGTTCTGTTTTAGGCCCCGTAATCTTCAATATCTTCATAAATGATTTAGATGAAGAGATAGAAGGGGAACTCATCAGATTTGCAGACCACAACGAGCTGGGGGGAATAGCCAAGGGTTTAGAAGATATGCTCAAGATCCAGAAGGTTCTTGATAGACTTGAAATCTGGACCCTATTCAACAAAATGCACTCAGTGCTGGGAAAGTAAGGTTTTACACTTAGGCTAGAAAAAACAAATGCATGGGTATAGAATATAATTGTACCTGGCTCAACAGCAGTAACTATGAAAGGGATCTAAGGTCGAGGTCCTAGTGGGCAGCAACTTAAGTATGAACCAGCACTGTGCTGCAGCTGCCAAAAAAACCCAACGCAATTCTAGACTGCATCAACAGGGATAGTATCAAGATCACATGAAGTATTAGTATTGCTTTATATTGCTTTGGTAAGACCACACATGGAATGCTTAATCCATTTCTGGTCACCATGATATAAAAAAGATGTTGAAACTCTAGAAAGAGTACAGAGAAGAGCAACAAAGACGATTAGGGGCCTGGAGGCTGACACATACAATGAATGTTTGGGTATGTCTGGACTAGGGTGACATGGACTTGGGTCAATATAAAAGGGGGGGGAAATGACATTGCCATAGGTGTATACTACAGACCACCCAACCAAACAGAGGAAATAGATGAACTTTTTGCTAGTCAGCTAACTAAGGTATGTAGGAAGCACACCACAATAGTAATGGGGGACTTTAACTACCCTGACATCAACTGGGAGACAAACTCCGCACCAAGTGGAAGATCAAACAGGTTCCTGGCAAACCTAGCAGACAACTTTGTCTCCCAAAAAGTAGAGAAGGGAACTAGGGGATTAGCCATTTTGGATCTAATTCTCACTAACAGAGATGAAATGATAGACGGTGTTGAAGCCATAGGAACCCTGGGAGGAAGTGATCATGCAATATTAGAATTCAACATTATAGAAGCACAACCAATAGAACACAGTCAAACTAGAGTCTTGGACTTCAAGAGAGCTAATTTCAATAAACTTAGAGAGGGCTTGGGAAGGATTCCATGGATGAGAATCCTCAAGGGGAAAACAACTCAAGAAGCTTGGGAAATTTTGAAAAATGAGATAATAAAAGCACAGTCTAGCACAATACCAACAAAGAGGAAAAATAACAGCTCTCAAAAGAAACCAGCATGGCTGCATAAAGAACTCTCTGACAAATTGAAAGATAAAAAGGACAAGTACAGAAAGTGGAAAGAGGGGAACATAACTAAGTCAGAATATCAGCAAATAGCCCGAGCCTGCAAAGATGAAGTGAAGAAAGCCAAGGCTCAAAATGAACTAAGGCTTGCGACCAAAGTCAAAAATAACAAAAAAAGCTTCTTTCAACATGTAAAAAACAAGAAAAAAGTGAAGGAAATGATTGGTCCATTAGTGGGTGGAAGTGGCAAGAAGGTGACAAGCAACAGGGAGAAAGCAGAACTATTTAACTCATTTTTTGCATCTGTCTTTACACAAAGGGAAAAAACAGACCAACCTATCAAAAATAGTGCCATAAAAAACAAAACAGAAACACAAGTTAAGATAGGCAAGAAAATGGTTAGGGAGCACCTGTCCAGCCTAGATGAGTTCAAATCGCCAGGACCAGATGGATTACACCCCAGAGTTCTCAAGGAACTGGCAGATGTGATATCGGAGCCACTGAACTATATTTTTCAAAGATCCTGGAACACAGGGGAACTACCAGAGGACTGGAAAAGAGCTGATGTAGTTCCCATCCTCAAAAAAGGAAAAAAAATGGATCCAGGAAATTACAGACCTATCAGCCTGACCTCAATACCTGGGAAGATCCTGGAAAAGATAATCAAACAACGAATCAACGAACACCTAGAGGCAAACAAAGTCATTACTAAAAGCCAACATGGGTTTGTCAAAAATAGATCATGCCAGACAAATCTTATTGCATTCTTTGACCAAGTGACAAAATTAGTGGATCAGAGGAATGCTGTGGACATAATTTACTTGGACTTCAGTAAGGCATTTGATAAAGTAGATCACAACCTACTACTTGACAAGATAGAAAAATGTGGGGTAGACAGAACCACCACCAGATGGATCCGTAGCTGGCTGACCGGCCGTACTCAGCGAGTGGTCCTCAATGGAACTGCATCTATATGGAGGGAAGTGTGTAGTGGGGTGCCCCAGGGCTCTGTTCTGGGCCCAGTACTCTTCAACATCTTCATCAACGATTTGGATGAAGGGATAGATGGGGAACTCATCAAATTTGCAGATGACACCAAGCTGGCAGGAATAGCCAACACTCCAGAAGACAGGCTTCAGGTACAGAAGGATCTGGACAGACTTGAACACTGGGCACTAACTAACAAAATGAAATTCAATGGTGAAAAAAGCAAGGTTCTACATTTAGGCAAGAAAAACCAAATGCACAAGTACAGCATAGGTGGCACCATGCTCAATAGTAGTAACTGTGAGAGGGACCTCGGAGTCCTAGTAGACAATCACTTAAATATGAGCCAGCAGTGTGCGGCAGCTGCCAAAAAGGCCAACACAGTACTAGGCTGCATTAACAGAGGGATAGAATCAAGATCACGCGAAGTATTAATACCACTCTTCAATGCCTTGGTAAGGCCACACTTGGAATACTGCATCCAGTTTTGGTCACCACGATGTAAAAAAGATGTTGAGACTCTAGAAAGAGTACAGAGAAGAGCAACAAAGATGATTAGGGGACTGGAGGCTAAAACATATAAGGAACGGTTGCTAGAATTGGGTATGTCTAGTTTAACGAAGAGAAGGACAAGGGGGGACATGATAGCAGTATTCCAATATCTCAGGGGCTGCCATAAAGAAGAGGGAATTAAGCTATTTTCCAAAGCACCTGAAGGCAGGACAAGAAGCAACGGGTGGAAACTAATCAAGGAGAGAAGCAACCTAGAACTAAGGAGAAACTTCCTGACAGTGAGAACAATTAATCAGTGGAACAGCTTGCCTCCAGAAGCAGTAAATGCTCCAACACTGGAAGTTTTTAAGAAGAGACTGGACAGCCATTTGTCCGAAATGGTGTAGGGTTTCCTGCCCGAGCAGGGGGTTGGACTAGATGACCTCCAAGGTCCCTTCCAACTTTACTATTATTATTATTATTATTATATGATAGCAGTCTTCCAATAGTTGAGTGGCTGCCACAAAGAAGAGGGAGTCAGCCTCTTCTCCAAAGCACCTGAGGGCAGGACAAGAAGCAATGGATGGAAATTTATCAAAGAGAGATCCAACCTAGAAATAAGGAGAAATTTCCTGACAGTGAGAACAATTAATCAGTGGAATTGCATGCCTCCAGAAGTTGTGGGTGCTCCATCACTTGAGGTTTTCAAAAAGAGATCATACAGCTATTAGTCCGGAATGGTGTAGAGTCTTCAGCTTGAGCAAGGCTTGAATTACAAGACCTCCAAGGTCTCCTTCCGACTCTGTTATTCTGTTATTATTTATTCTGTAAAATTATTCCAGCCATGAGTATATTTGGTAATAGAGAAGATATGAGTTGAAAAAAGTGAGTGAAGAATAATAGTTTGGCATAAAAACCTGCTTATGTTTTTAACTTAACAAGTAACACAATATTTTGTGCTTTGTCTTGGTTATAGGAGGTATAATTGGTGTTTTTTCTTTATAAAATAACGATCTTTTCCTCCTCTCAGAAAACTGAAGCACTGCGAATGCAGTATCGTTATTTGGATTTAAGAAGTATTCAGATGCAGTATAACCTCCGGCTGAGATCCCAGGTGGTGATGAGAATGCGAGAGTATCTCTGTAATCATTATGGTTAGAGAAACCGAATTGTTAATAATTAATTATTTTTCTCCTTTCACTTACTATGGTGCTGACAACATTTATTAAATTTTATTTTAGATTTTGTGGATGTAGAAACACCAACACTGTTTAAGAAAACACCAGGAGTAAGTATACAAATACATCTTTTCTGTACATATATTGTCTTATAAAATTATCAAGTAATTACATTATGTAATCCAAACATCTAAAATAGACATGTCAAACTCGCGACATCACATGACGTCGCGCAATGTATCGGGATGGTTTTGCCATTGCTGGCAATGGGGTGGGTGCGGCTTCTGGATGACACATCCGGCCCATGGGCCGGCAGTTTGACACCCCTGATCTAAAAGAAGAGTGACTAATTCAACTGTTAAAATTACCCATGATTTTACCAAACAGAATTGGTCTTAGATGTGGGGGAGATGTTTTATGTCCTGGGACGCTTCAGTATTCATATTGAATTCACCAGCTCAGAACTTAATAGCTGTCATAGTTACTTTAAGGATTTTTCTGCCCCAATGCATTATGAATAGGAAGCTTATGATGTTGAAATTGGATGACAGTTCTCTCGGTCAGCCCATGTTTAAATTGACAGTGGTATTTCCCTTTGTACTAAAGGTTACTTAGAGAACAATAGAATCAAGACAACTTTGGAGATTTTGCTTGACATAGTCAAAATTTTAGTTTTATCAAATTATGTGATAGAGAGTGTTTTTTATATAAATTTTATTAAAACGTTTAAAAAGGAAGATAACTAATACAAACTAATACAAAGAAAGCAAGAAAAAACTAAAGGTGCAAGGGAAAAAAATAGAAAAACAAAAAAGATACAAACAAGTTTCTTTTTAGCTTCTATGACAAAGAGAGTTGTTAACATAATGGTTTCTAAGCATCATTTTCTGAAACAAAACCTTCATTGATTTAGTTGTTACTGAAAAGCTGCAAGAAATACCACCTGCCAAATAACAGTTGGAACACAAAAAGTGCTATCATTTGTTCATGGATAGGTTTAAATTTTTTAAAATATAAAATTATATACACACACATACACACATATATATACATAGATATATATATATAAAATCAGAAATATATACATATATATACACACACATAAACATGTTTATATGTATATGTGTGTCTATTTATCTGTGTGTCTGTGTATAAGTATATATACAGTGTGTGTGTGTGTGTGTGTGTGTGTATATATATATATATTCAGAATTTAATTTTAATGTAGGCCAGTGTGCACACAGAAAAGTGATAATAAAGGTTATCTTATCTTAAAAAGCAGTAACCTAGGTGTTCTCACTATTTGTTAATATTCTTCAAGAACTTTTGTTAATTTGTCACATGAGAACTGACTAAAAGCATGATCATTTAAATCGGGCCCCTAACCCCCAGGCCATAGACCTGTGCTGGCCCAGCACCTCCTGGGTACCTGGCCAACAAGCGGTAGGTGAGCTCATAGAGCTTCATTTGTGCATGTGTGGGAACTAGGTCGTACACATGAAACTATCCTCTCTTCCCCTGCCATTGCTGCTGCTGGTCCAGGGAGCCAGAAAGACTGGCGACCGCTGACATAAATGAAATAGAGTACAGGTGATATATTTTGGGAAATGGTTCGTTATTGAGCTTCCATTTCCTGATTAAATGCAATAGGTAGTGGATTAAATTTTTCAAGAAAGATTTGGCTGAAATAAATGTTTTGTACTCAAACTAGAAGTTTCCTCATTTTTTTTCAGCTAACTGCAATGTAATTCCAGCTTTAAATTACATCCTCCTTTTAATACCAGGGTGCAAAAGAATTTGTGGTGCCTTCCCGGGAGGTTGGAAAGTTCTACTCACTTCCTCAGAGCCCTCAACAATTTAAACAACTCCTAATGGTAGGAGGTCTGGACAGGTGAGCTTCTTGGAGCCCCACTAGCACAATGTTTTCAAGGTAGCACTAAAACTCTGATCCACAGTTTGTGGTGAGAGGATAACGGATAGACTGAGTTGCAGTTTATCACACAAACTGTTTACTTGCCAATTAATCAGGTTCCATGCTAAGAATGATGCGGTCTAACAGAACTGTAACTCTCTCTATGTCTGCCTAGAAGATTCACATGCTTGAAATCTTGCAAAGATTTTCTGTACCATGCAGTCTATGGCCACAATCTTCTCATCTATGAGATGGAGAACCATGTTGCTGAATCATGGCATATATAAAACATACAAGGATTGGGAGATGGCACCATTTTATGGTGATTCTGCTTCTACTTGAATGAGTGATTCCAGTCAGTAGTCGTGTGTGTGTGTGAGAGAGAGAGAGACAGCACTCACTTCCTTGGTTGCTCCAGTATTGGTTCCCCGCCTCCCCTCATATTATTTAAGTACTGTATATGAAACCACTAGGAGAGATCTAGTTTGGAGTGAGGTGTCATCAGCACACTGATGAAAGCCACTTACACATTTCCATCTTGTACTGAGCTGGAGATGTGATAGAAAGTCTGAACCAGGCTGTCAAGATTTGGATGAAGCAAAACAAGATTGAATGCTACTAAAATGGAGTTACTATTTGTAAATAAATATCCAGTAATATTGGTCCCAATAATTACTGTAGATGAGATTGTGCTTTCCCTAAAGGAATTGGTTTGTGATTTAGGGGTGTTTATAGCCCTAGCTTACATGGCAGATAAAAACTTGTTCAGGGGCCAGATCATTGGTGGCTGAATTCATAATGCTGGTTACTACCTTTATAATCTTACATAGGGTGGTCCCAGGATATATCGAGCAACACCTGACCAAATTGGAATCTGCACATTTTTTCTCATCAGCTTCAACATTCCACCACAGAAAATATATACCGTATTTTCTGGAGTATAAGACGACTTTCTAAAGCATGCAAATCGGCTCCGAAGTTGGGGGTCATCTTATACGCCGAGTTGTCTTATACGCCGGAAATTACGGTAGTTTCCGGAGTATAAGTCAACTTTCTAAGCATGCAAATCGGCTCCGAAGTCGGGGGTCGTCTTATACGCCGAGTCGTCTAATACGCCGGAAAATACGGTAGGTAATCCCTGAGCATTCACTTAATGCTCGTTTGAAGTTACGTGATAAGTGCCCCCTAGTGCTTGCGAGCAAGTCCTGAAATTACAAATATTGCAGCATCACAGCAGTTGTTCGCCCTTTCAAGTGACTGCAGAGGCTCTGCAACATTTGTTCTGTCCCAGCCTCTGCAAATACTGCTCAACTGCTTACTTGTGAAGAAAAACCCCTTTGCATTGAACAAGGCAGGACCCCTTTTATTTTGACACAGCTTTTATGGAACAAAACTCCAACTAGTCCTTTAGCTGTTGAGACGAACAAGTTCAGTCTCTGAGTTCTCAGGTGGAATGCTCAAGGTTTAAGTCACTCAAGCACACAGAAATCCGACAAACCTGGTTAAATATCCAAGAATCCTGAGGCAAGAAATCCAACAACAGAAGCATAAAGCCGTAGCATGAATGGTTGCTTTTGGCAACCAGCCCCTCCCACAGCTGTCCTCTTTATAGTCCAGCCAGGGTGTGGCTTCTTAGAGTTTTTTACTTTTCCTGGAGAACCTCCCTCCGCTGTCCACGCCTTTCCTCCATGTGCATCCGTGCATCTGCAACAGGTTCCAGCTCAGTTCAGGCCCCCAGCCCAGCTGTCTCTGCCTGAGTGTGAGTAGATGGGTCCGGTGTCACATCTAGTTCTGAGTCTTTGTGCTCCTCAGAGCCTTCCATAGACTCCAATGTGACCTCAGGCAATCCCTCCCCCTCATCTGATTGGCTGCCCGATCTGCTGGCAAGTGAGGACTCACAACAACATTCACCCTGGTTATTTCCTCCCTCCCCACTCCCACCCCAGGTTTTCCTAGGCATTAGGCCTTTAATACTCACCCTGTGAAGCTGAAGATACTTGCTTTTTTGGCTGCTCCAGGTCTTCAGTGTGTTCGCAGAGAATGGAGGCCTAAAGTAACACAAGATCACGCGAGATCAGTGGGGTGAGATCTCACGATATTGATCTCACGTGATCTCGTGGTACTTTAGGTCTCTGTTCTCTGCAACAGAAAATAGACCAAAGCTGGGGATGCTTTCTCGTGTCTCCAGAGTCTGGATCGGGATGTCTGAGGCCTTTTCCATGTCACTGCTGCTCAGATCTGAGGCTAGGAGATGCTTCCGAAGCCCTCCAGTGGCCCATTTCCAGGTGGCAGCAGTCTGGAGAAGACCTCCGGCTCCTGGATCAGGCTGCCGGAGGGCCGCAGAAGCATCCCCTGGCCTCAGATCCAGGTGGCAGTGGCCTGGAAAAGGCCTCCAATGGCACACAGAAGCTTCCCCCAGCCTCAGATCCAGGCAGCAACAGGAACCGCGGCAGAAAGGCAACAGATCTTTTCAAGGTGAGTCTGATGTGGCAGGAAGGAAGGGGGAAACATGAAATATCTTATTGGTTTTGGGGGGCCTTGGGGGCCTGTTCCATCACTAGGCCCTCTATGGCCTTGCCCACCCTGAGATACCTCATGTTCACTTAATGAGCCGCGTGTGTCTTAACGAGCAAGGGAATGATGTCGTTCGAGGTAGGAGATTCACTTCGAGTTACGAGTGGAATGGGCAGGCTCCATTTCACTCAACTCGAGGACTAACTGTATATGAGGTACAGTTAAGGCTAGAAAGCAGGCCTTTTTTATAATGCCCCCTAGTCTAGAACACATTTCCTCTGGAGATAAATTTATCCTTAGTCATACTAGCATTTTGTATGTCAGTCTTGTCCCAAGCTGATTATGGGTGCTCATCTTGTGTATGAATGATTAATTCATTCATTATAGTTATATTTTCTTTTTGTTCTGTTTCCAGATTCTCAGCAGCTTGGGTGGTGTGCAATTTGTGAGAGAAAGAAATATGTATGAAAAAATAGAGATTTAGCAGTGGCATAGTCTCTTCTGCCTGTCTCTTCTCGGCACTGCAGAGTGTGTCTTGTCAACTCAAAGTGTGTAGAAGGTCTTTCAGTATGACAAGCATATAAACCACTTCTTTTTCCTTGCAGTTCCCCACATAGCTTCTTTTCTGTGCCTGTAGCATTAACCAATTCCTAAATATGGAATACATGTTTCTTCTGTTTTAAATTTAAATTATAGCCATTTTTTTAGATGTACACTGAGGGAAAAAAAGTATTTGATCCCCTGCTGATTTTGTACATTTGCCCATTGACAAAGAAATGATCAGTCTATAATTTTAATGGTAGGTTTATTTTAACAGTGAGAGACAGAATAACAACAAAAAAATCCAGAAAAACATATTTCAAAAAAATTATAAATTGATTTGCATGACTTAGTACTTGGTGGCAAAATCCTTGTAGCAATCACAGAGGTCAGACGTTTCTTGTAGTTGGCCATGGTTTGCACACAGCTCAGGAGGGATTTTGTCCCATTCCTCTTTACAGATCCTCTCCAAGTAATTAAGGTTTCGAGGCTCACGTTTGGTAGCTTGAAACTTCAGCTCTCTCCACAGATTTTCCATGGGAATACGGTCTAGAGACTGGCTAGGCCACTCCAGGACCTTAATGTGCTTCTTCATGAGCCTGTGTGTTTTGGGTCATTTCCATCCTGGAATACCATGGCTGAGAGAAGGAAGTTCTCGCCCAAGATTTGACGCTACATGGCCCTGTCCATTGTCCCTTTGATGCAGTGAAGTTGTCCTGTCCCCTTAGCAGAAAAACACCCCCAAAACACCTCGATGTTTGACGGTGGGGATGGTGTTCTTGGGGTCACAGGCAGCATTCCTCCTCCTAATACAGCAAGTTGAGTTGATGCCAAAGAGCTTGATTTTGGTCTCATCTGACCACAACACTTTCACCCAGTTCTCCTCTGAATCATTCAGATGTTCATTGGCAAACTTCAGACGGGCCTGTACATATGCTTTCTTGAGCAGGGGACCTTGCGGGCGCTGCAGGATTTCAGTCCTTCATGGCGTAGTATGTTACTCCCTTTAAGAGAGTTCTCCTAATCTCAGCTTGTTACGTGTATAAAAGAAATTTTCTTGGTGACTATGGTCCCAGCTGCCTTGAGATCATTGACAAGATCCTCCTGTGTAGTTCTCGGCTGATTCCTCGCTGTTCTCATGATCATTGAAATTCCACAAGGTGAGATCTTGCATGAGGCCCCAGACTGAGGGAGAGTGATAGTTGTTTTGTGTTTTTTCCATTTGCGAATAATCGCACCAACTATTGTCACCTTTTCACCGAGCTGCTTGGTGATAGTCTTGTAGTCCTTTCCAGTCTTGTGTAGGTCTATAATCCTGCCCCTGACATCATTGAACAGCTCTTTGGTCTTGGCCATGGTGGAGTTTGGAATCTGATTGATTGCTTCTGTGGACAGGTGTCTTTTATACAGGTAACCAGCTGAGATTAGGAGCACTCCCTTTAAGAGAGTGCTCCTAATCTCAGCTCATTACCTTTATAAAAGATACCTGGGAGCCAGAAATCTTGCTGATTGATAGAGGATCAAATACATATTTCACTCATTAAAATGCAAATCAATTTATAACTTTTTTAAAATGAGTTTTTCTGGATTTTTATTTTATTTTATTTTATTTTTTTTTGGTTATTCTGTCTCTCACTGTTAAAATAAACCTACCATTAAAATTATAGACTTATCATTTCTTTGTCAGTGAGCAAACGTACAAAATCAGCAGAGGATCAAATACTTTTTTCTCTCAATGTATATTCTTTCCAAATCCCATTTTGGGAGATCATGCTACTTGAGATAGTTAGATAGTCTACAACCAGAATGTCATTTCTAATGGCAGGTATTTCCAAGTTGCCCGCTGTTACCGAGATGAAGGTTCAAAGCCAGACAGACAGCCTGAATTCACTCAGGTAAATTTATTTTTGTTTGGAATAAGATTAAAAAGCATTAAAAATGGGCATTGTTTTTATCTGTAACTACAAGGATTACCATCTGTTTAAAAGTTGGTTTAATGGCTTTGGAAGAGGAAAATCTGAATATATAGGATAACAATGTAAAGTGATTGGGAATTGAATACATCATCTCACTGTTATTACTTGCAACGCTGACAAAAAACGGTTCTGTGATTCAGCTTTATCATTCAGTATACAGAGCAAATAATACTGAATAGTGATAGAAAATGGAGAAGTGTCATTTGTTCCACTGTTGAGAGATAATTTCTAATCTGGTATTACAGTTAACACATTACTTCATTTCTTGGTCTAGTACTGCAAATGGAATGCCAAATTCATCAAAATGGCATATGTGCTTGTTTATTCGATTTATATGCTGCCTTTGTGACCTATATCCCTAGGTACAATGAAATCTGACTTTATGAGGTGTGCTGTGTGTATTAGTAAATTACTAAGAATCAAAAAATTAAAAAGTAAAGGGCATCAAATCTCCACAAAAGAGCACTCAAAATATAATTAAAAATATATGGATATTAGTAATTATTTTATAAATGGGGTTGATAGGAGGATATGGCAAAGAGTTGCTCAAAGATACTTTGTGTGTTTTAAAACTAATCTACATTGCAAAATTGCTAGGACTAGTTTGTGTACAATAGAGTTCACTTCATCTAATAACATCTGCAATATATCTTCTGTAATAAATATGCTATAGCATCTAAGGTAACATGGCTTTTTCCTACAAAAGATTAACAGAGATAATTCCTAGAAAATTGTATAGAGAGGACAGAGAAAAGAGAATGAATGGGCAAAGGAATTAGACTTAAAAAACCATGAAAATAACATACAGCTCCAAAATCTGAGGATGTACAAGTATTTCATTGAAATGGGTGTTGTAAACCTATACTCTGAAGGAAGGACTGTTCTCTAGTATTGTAACCTTTTCAGGTTACATGCATTTTTCAAAGAAATATATCTTTTGCAAAAATGTTAAATAGAATAATGGTAATATTTACTATGCCTTAATTTAAAAAAAATCTCTTGTTTATTTTCCTCCCTAAAGATAGATATTGAAATGTCATTTGTGGACCAAGCTGGAATTCTGGCTTTAACCGAGGGCATGCTGCAGTATTCCTGGCCTGAGGAAAAGGGGCTTATCAAAATACCCTTCCCTTCAATCTCCTATGATGAAGCGCTATCCACTTATGGGACTGATAAACCTGATACTCGTTTTGGAATGAAGGCATGTTCATTTGCCAAAATTATCCATTTGCTTGATTTCCACACCCCGAGTGCTATAATTAAGGTCCCTTAACTGTAGTGGGATTTGTTGATATTTTGATAATTTTGTTTTGTCAAGTATGGGTGCTGCCAGCAGTATATTGAGTGAATCAAATTCTATGTAATTTGCATATTGAATTTATGCTAATCTGTTGGGTTCATATTTCTTAGTCCTTTGATGGCCCAATTCTGCTTCTTACAAAATACACAAGGACCTTGGGGCTTTCACTGGCTTTATTGCTAGATTGAAGAAAGCTGAGTTGAATTCTTGCCTTTTGCAGGAATTATCCACAAAGTTGCTGAAATTTGCCCAACTACGGTAACCCCAAAAGGATTTATAGGTAGTTCACAACCACAAAGAAGAGAAACCAGTTTGCTCAAAGGGTACATCTGTACAAACATTGTCTGACTGCAATTCTGATTTAAGATTAGCACCCACTGAGTTACTAGTTATCCCTGGAAACCAGCTCACGGATTTAAACAGATGAGATGTTTGTATGGGATTGGTATGGAAAGCTGAATGGGGAATGCTTCATATAATAATAAAGATGTCATCTATATAAAAATTCAGTTTTCACCAGGCATATTGAATTATACAATATGAAAAGGTTATACTACATAATTCAATATGGTGAAAACCTATGTTGCAAACTATTTTTCCCTTTAATACCATTTGAAGGATTTTTAGATTGCCTAAAACAATCATCCCTGTAGGCAGCTTACAACAAATCAGCATTCTAATGATATTATAACTTGAAACACAAATTACAAACAAAGTGTTAAAACTCCAGCCAAATATATTTAAAACATTTTCAATCAAGCATATCATATCAGATATAACCACAAGATTCAATAACTATCAGTTGTCCATAAAATCAATCCTATATTGCTTAAGAGTCAATATGTGGCTACTGAAAAGACTCTGTCTCTGGGCCCCAATCCAGGAATATTTCCAAGCTTCATGCAATACAACCTTGATTTAATGAAGCATTTGTAATGAAGAGGAATTTGTTTAATTTAGATGTATGTTATGTATATCAATTTACATCATTTTTAGAGAGCCAGTTTGATGTAGTGGTTAAGGCATCATGCTAGAAACTGGGAGACCATGAGTTATAGTCCCTTGGTCACAAGGCGAGGTGGGTAACCTTGGATCAGTCACTTTCTCTCAGCCCTAGGTAGGAGGCAGTGGCAAATCATTTCTAAAAAAACTTTGCCAAGAAAACTGTAGGACTTGTCCGATAGTCTCCAAGAACCAGGCATGATTGAGCGGTGGTAAAAAAAAAAAAAAAAGACAGCATTTGTACATTTAGGTAATTGATCCAAATGGCATCATTTACAGATCTTCTTACCCATATCATATTTAGTTTCTGAGGATCAAATTCATTTACCTCTCCCCATCTTTTAACAGCTTTTTTCAAAAAGGCCAGAGTCTCACTGTGTATAGTGATTATAGAGGGAACAAAGAATAGCAACCACCTACTTTTAATACTGTCTCAATATCACCTGTTGGCTTTTCTTAGCAATCTTATGTAGATCTGTGTAGAATTGTGTGCTGAGGCAGAGCTAAGTGTGGTGTCACATTTTATTACAGGAAATCACATATTCCATTCTAATTGTGAGACTACTGGGATTAGATGATCCAGCTTCATAATGCTGAATTACTTTTTTATTTCTCCCTTGATCTCAAGGATGCAAAGAGGTTTTTTTTTAATTAAGGATCATTTATTATGTAAATTGAATTTTACTTCTGTAAGCCAAAAAGATTCACATCAAACCTCAGTTTCAACTCAGTCAAAAAACTATTTCCAGATGTTATGCTTTTAAGAATAAGGTGAGGTGAATGATCAGATATAGTCATGTAAGGGCTGGCCAAATCCCATGATTATCTCATTTCCTTGAATTTGTTGTTCAAATAACAGGAACTCTGTTCCAGCAAATCTACTTTGGAATATACATTAAAATGACTAATAAATAATGTTTATATTTTATCAAATTATAATGCATTTTGGCTTTTAATTTGTGTGAATGAGCCCAGAAAATATGGAGATCTCTGCTGTGTTTTAAAGCAGTAATTTTGATAGTTCTTGTACTACACACTTGCCACATTTGATAGTAGTGGTGTCTCGGTACTCATTAATTGGTTTTGGGAGGCACGATGAATACCAAAAATGAATAGTACTAAACAGATTTTTCCCATATGGAATAATGTAATGAGTCACAAGGCAGCCAACACCAAAGCATTCTAGCTCATACATTGTACCAAAAAATGATGAATACCAGGACAAAATTTTCACATCAAAATGCACTGAGTACCAAATTCGATGAGTTTCAAAACAGTTGAGTACCAAGATATTGAGTTATAAAAACTTGTATCAATCACAAATGTTCTCTTTAAGATACCACAAATGTTTCTTGCACTGCAGACTGTGATTTTGTTAAATTAAGAGAGGGGGGAAGTCCACCTTTCCTGAAATTCAAGCACTGTTTTATTGGCTATCATAAATTAACACAGCCATGAAATGAGAATTCAATCCAAAGCTTCCATTCCCATTCACAAGGGGTTGTAGTGGCAGCTATCCCACTGTCTTGAGTAAAATTCAACAGCTGATGAGAAGAGTATAGGATGTAAAGCTAAGTCCTTTTTCAGTTGCGTTTGAAACAGCTTTCCCTTCCCCTGTTTCTTTTCCAGTCATATTCCTATTGTCACAATTACAATATTTATATCTTTTCTTCCAATGTCAGATCATTGATGTAAGTCACATTCTCAGGAACATAGATGTTGGCTTTTTGCAGAACTCTCTCAGTGAGCCCTACGCTACAGTGAAAGCCATTTGCATTCCCGAGGGAAGGGTAAGTGAGGCTGTTTGTGATAAGGGGAAATGCCCTTTGTCTTGGATGCTGTCATTTATCAAGTTGTTATTTGTATGAAGAATCCTGCAGATATATTATCTCTCTCTTTGACTTGCATACAAGTAGATGATTGAAAAAGCAAGCTTTTATCTTTTCAGGAGAAATCAAACTGGTTTCAATAAGATCTGTTTCTTAAAAACAAGAATACATTAAACTAATGTATTGCTTTATATCTTGAAGTTAAAATAATACTGAATAAAGCATGCTTATGGAGATTTGGCAAACTCAGTCTAGTTAGTGAATGGGAGGAATGGTGCTATGTGAGATGTATGTCCTTATAGAAAGAAATCAAAAGGTAAAGTTTCCTTGTCAGCTATGTCCAACTGTAGGGTATGGGTTTTTTGCTGAGGTAACCAGCGTTTCCAAAGACAATTTCCATGGCCATGTAGCCAGCATGTCTATACACCAAAGATGCACGGAACGCTGTTACATTCTCACTAAAGTGGAACTATTAATCTACTTATGTTTGCATGCTTTCAAACTGCTAGGTGGGCAGGAGCTGGGGCAAGTAATGGGAACTGTTGCATGGAAGTTCAAGTCTTGAACCCCGGCTGTCAGTTCTCCAGCTGACAAGCTCAGCATCTTTAACCACTGAGCCATTGCACCTTAGGAATAGAAAGAAGTACTGAAAGAAAAAAATATTTAATGTTGCTTTCTATCTATGGGTTGAAATGAGGTAGTGGTGCAAAATATAGAAGCCAACCCAGATTTCTAGTACGAAAAAAGGATGTGGGAAGAATGCCAGGAAAGGCTGCATCTTAATTTTTTCAATGCAGTTTTTCTTTCCTACTTCTTCCACACAACCCCATTCCTGAAGAACAGACTAGAAATCATTTGTTGTTAGTTGCTAAGTCATGTCCGACCCATCGCGACCCTATGGACAACGTTCCCCCAGGCCTTCCTGTCCTCTACCATCTTCTGGAGTCCATTTAAGCTCACGCCTACTGCTTCAGTTGTATATAGTTAGGTTCATCTATCTGTGGAATGAACATTACAGGCAGTCAGATCAGATTCTCTCTTCTCTGAAAACTGGGAAGATGCAGGGTTATCTCTGAGAATACTTAGAAGAATATACACAAAAGTGAGTGCTGATGTATTCCAGATTTTGTTCTACAATCAAATATTAAAAAGTAAAAGGGATGCATTTATTAAAAGTGTATCCCAGTTATGATTTGTCAGCCACGTTTGGATGAGTCTTTCAAGTTCAGCCTTTCATCCTTGATTTATTAAGAAAGTTTACATTCTGTGCACTTGGTCATTATTTACATTGTTCTCTCAATATGACATCATTTACAACAACTGTGAAGTAGATTAAAAGTGAGAAATAATGATTAAATCAGCATTCATTTGAATTCAGGTACTCAACATTGGGTTGAGTTTACATCTCCATGATTCAAACCCATCTCTATTCACTGTTGCCTACTAGTTCACACATTTATTTGCAGCAGAATGCCAAATGTGGAGGAGTTGCAAGCAAATATATATTTGTGAATGGATGCTTTTGCCAGTTGATATTACAGTTAGGAAACAGAAAAACTGTGTTTTTCCTTACTGTGGTATTTAATGTCAATCCTATATTTATAATTATAGAGCACTAAAATAGTGATTAAGTTTACATGACTACAGAGCATCAAAATTGATTCCTTTTATCTCGTGATGACAATTAGCAAGAATCGAATCTGAACATCACTGTTTTATCTATGTTTATTAATAGAATCTTAGTATCAGTTTAGAGATTATTTTTAATTGCATCATTGGAAATGATAAAAAAAATCAAACTTTATTTTGTTTTAAGTTTATTTCCCTTGGATTGAGATATATTTTTGGAGGGAGTTCTGCTCTATATATCATTGTTCTGATTAACTCATTTTTGTTGTATATGATTTCTTTCTAGAACTGAAAATATAATCTCAAAGCATTTTTTAATTTAAGCTTGATTCTGAAACAAAAGGTGTAATGTAAAAATAATAGGCAAATATATAGCAGTATCAGTTAAAATATAACAAACCTAATCCATTTATATATCTTTTTCTCTAGAAATATCTACAGTTTAAAGATTTGGAGTCCTTAAATGAATTGTCAAAATCCCAGTTTAACCAGGTATGGCAAAAAGAGCTACAACCAAGAAATATTTTCTTGCGGGAGTTTATATTGGGCTATGTAAAATTTAAACCTACATATTACATATCAGTTGAGGATGCTGGAACAGGGAGAATTTCTAGTTCTTTTTTTTTTTTTGGTAAATATTTTATTGGTTTTTATCAATAACAATCTCTTGTGCCTAGTGTACAGCGTGTTGTCTTGGTTTATATATTTGAAAAAAGGGGGGAAAAAGTAAAAAGGTAATAATAATTAATTAACAGTCAATAAGGATTAAATTTGATAATTCCATAATTAGTATATTAATTAATAATATATTTCCTTGATCTTCATTTCTTCCATTTGTATTCTCCTTCTTCAACCTTAACCAAAATATAATTCTTAATATTTTCAATACATAAATGATTAAATTTAGACATTTTTTCATATTTATACAAATAGTGATACCATCTATGTATAACACATTTTTTATCATCTTATATTATTATTATAACCATCATCTCAGTTCACCATGCATCCTATTTGTGATATTTTTTTAAGCTTAATATCCCCTTTTATTCAATCCATTCTTATCGGTCATGATTTTCTCAATGTTAATCATCTAAATATCCAAATTTTTCCATTTAGGTATACCATCCCAATATTTTTATATTTCATGTATTATAAAAATACTGTGCTTTTTGTCTGAGTATAGCATTCTTTCTGATCAGCTTATATTTCACTTATATTTATAAAAGTTACATCATCCCAATATTTTTACATTTCATATATCATAAAACATACTATATTTCTTAAATCTCTTATCCCTCTTGTTATAGGGCTCCTTTATGTTCAATGTTCTTTTAACCATATTCAAACAATATGGTTGTGGATACTCATATAATACTCCATCTGTAAGGGCGAGTCAAATCTCTTGATTCTGTCTCTAGCTTTCTTCTCTTGTTGAATAGCTTTCCAAGTTGATATATTCCGCTTACCCTGCAGTTTCTGTGTTTTTGCAAATATTGTTGGGAATACAGAAGATAGAATAGATAGGATATATAGTTTCTGTCTCCCAAACTCTAATAATTATCCTGGGAATTCTATGGTTCACTCCATTTTTATTGGGTTTTTTTTATTATTATTAAAAGTTTTACAAATTTAATACAATATAACCCAAACCCCTCCCACCCCTTCCCCCACTTCCCAGAGCTGATTACAGGGTAACAAATAAACAATCATAATCTAACAAACATTACCCGACTATACTATCAATCAATCTATAATATACTTTAACTCCTTTTCAAAACAAATGTTAACTAATTAAAAACAAAAATAATAATATAATTAAACCATAACACTAAAAATAATATAAATTCAACCATATTAAACTATTAATAATAATCTAAAAACTACTCATAACCAAGATAATACTTTTAAGTCTCATATTTCTTTTGAATATAATCAATCCATCTTCTCCAGACCGAAATATATTTTTCTTGTGAATGGTCCTTCAAATAGGCGGAGATTTTCACCATTTCTGCTAAATTAGACATCTTAAGTAACCATTCTTCCATAGTAGGCAAAGAATTTTTCTTCCAATATTGCCCCACCAATAATTTTGCAGCTGTTATAAGATTCAGCATCAAATTAATTTCTTTAACATCAAAATCAACTATAATACCCAACAAAAATAATTGCGGAGTAAACTTTATCTTTCTCTTAAAAATCTTTTGAATATTCCACCAAATCTTAATCCAAAAAGCTTTTATATCTCTACAAGTCCACCAAATATGAAAATAGGTTGCATCTAAACTTCCACATCTCCAACATTTGGGCTGTAAATTAGGATACATGTGGAACAACATTTGGGGATCCAAATGCCATCTATAAAACATTTTATAAAAATTTTCTCTTAAATTTTGCGCTTGAGTAAATTTTACATTTCTAACCCAAATTGTCTCCCATGTATCCAATAAAATCAGCTCTTGAATATTTTTTGTATTGAAAGTTTTTTATTTTTTCCATATAAACATTGTAAAATATATATATATACAATACAATTTTAAGATAAAATAAACATTATTACGACCTGCGCACTCCCCCCAGGCTGCGTCCACCCTCTCTTAAAACATTCCCTACTTCCCTCCTCTTTCTCACCCCCCCCATCCTACTCTCTTCCCCTCCCCTTCTCCTCTCACTACCCTACTTCCTCTCTACACTTGCCCACCTCTCATCCCTATCAAACCCATGAACGCAGCATAAGGGGAGTGCCCAGGCCGCACCCCTATAAGCAACCATTATCTATATTACACTTACCCCCCCACATTTCCTCCCTCCCTCCCACCCCCAACCCCCCTCCCTTCACTTCCCAGAGCAGAATACAGGGCTAATAATTAAAATGATTTATAATAATAAGAAAAAAGAAAAGAAACAGAAAAAAAAGAAAAAAGAAAAAAAATAATAAAAAAGGAAAAAAAATATCATACTTAACCTTTAACTCCAATAGCCTATAAGACAATTCTCTGTAATATTTACTATAATATTCATTCATAAAATAAGTGAAACTTTTTAATTCCATACTTTTTCTGAATATAATCTATCCATCTTCTCCATACAGTGATATATCTTTCTTGTGTGTGATCCTTTAAATAAGCAGAAATTTTTGCCATCTCTGCAAAACTAGATACTTTAAATACCCATTCTTCTAAAGTAGGCAAAGAATCTTTCTTCCAATATAAACCTATTAATAACCTTGCAGCAGTTAATAAATTCAACATCAAAATAGTTTCTTTATCATTTAAATCCACAAAGATACCCAATAAAAATAGTTGAGGAGTGAACTTTATCTTCCTTCTAAAAATCTTTTGAATGCTCCACCAAATCATAATCCAAAATGCCTTTACCTTTTTACAATTCCACCAAATATGAAAATATGTCGCATCTTTATTGCCACATCTCCAACATTTGGGCTGTATGTTAGGATACATACAAGATAATTTTTTAGGATCTAAATACCATCTGTAAAACATTTTATAAAAATTTTCTCTCAAATTTTGAGCTTGTGTAAATTTAACATTTCTAGTCCAAATTGTCTCCCATAAATCCAATGAAATCGGTTCCTGTACATTTTGAGCCCATTTAATCATACAGTCTTTAACCAATTCTGTTTCCGAGTCTAACTCTAATAAAACGTTGTAAATTCTTTTTATATGGGCCTGATTCTGATTTTTAATCTGAATAACCAATTGTTTATCTTCTAATGTTATTCCCTCTTTCTTATCTACAGTCCATCTATCCACTATTTGTAAGTATTGAAACCATGACTGTAGAGTATTTTCTTGCCTTAATACATCTAGGGATTTCAAATGCCAATTTGAACCAGACCAAATTAACAATTCTTTATATGAGATTTTATCGAAATTTGTCCCCTTAGAAATTCCCTCAATTGCATGTCTGGGAATCCCCCAGATAGGTAGTTTGTAATTCAATCTGTAATAATACTTTTTCCAAACACGAAGTAAGGCATTCCTCAAAATATGTAATTTAAAAATCCGATCAACTTTCTTATTGAAAATCAGGTATGCATGCCAACCATATATTAAGTCCCAACCTTCCAAAAACAGAATATCCTTATTTGTTAAGTTGAGCCAATCGCTTAACCAAGTTAAAGCGGCTGCATCATAATATAATTTCAAGTTGGGTGCCTTAAGTCCCCCTCTTTCTCGAGCATCCTGTAAAATCTTAAACTTAACCCTTGGTTTCTTTCCAGCCCATATAAAATTGTTGATACCCCTTTGCCATTCATCCAAATTTGCCTCTTTTTTTAAAATAGGTATCATCTGAAACAAAAAAAGGAACTTTGGTAGAACATTCATTTTTACAGCTGAAATTCTCCCCAACAATGACAATTGCAATTTTTTCCAGTCTTTTAAGTCCTTTTGTACTTTTCCCCATAATGGTTCATAATTATTCTTATACAATTTTCCATTTGAAGCAGTTAAATATACTCCCAAATATTTAACCTTTTTTACCATCTGAAAACCTGTGGCTTTGACCAAACTTTCCCTATTAACTAACATATTCTTAGATAATATCTTAGTCTTATAATTAAACCAGAGACATTCCCACTGTGTTATAAGTTCTAATAAACAATCAATCGCTTGATTCGGTTGTTCCAAAATTAAAACCAAATCATTCGCAAAGGCCCGCAATTTATACTCATTCTTCCTTATCTTTACTCCCTTAACTACCTTTGATTCTCGAATCTGAATCAATAAAATTTCCAACGTTAAAACAAATAACAATGGGGATAATGGGCATCCTTGTCTTGTCCCTTTTTCAATATTAAAATTCTCAGTCAATCCCCCATTTACAACGATTTGTGCAGATTGTTGCTGATATATAGCTTTAAGTGCATGTAAAAAATTATCCCCAAAATTCATTTTCTCTACCAATGAAAATAGAAATTCCAATCTAATTGATCAAAGGCTTTTTCAGCATCCAAAAAGATAAAAGCCACAGGAATCTGATTATTCTTATCCAAGTATTCAATTAAATTTATAATTTGTCTAACATTATATTTCATATATCGTCCTGTTATAAATCCTGCTTGGTCATTATGAATCAAGTCCTTCATAACCTACATTAATCTATTTGCCAAAATTTTTGTAAAAATCTTATAATCAACATTTAATAATGAAATTGGCCTATAATTCTTAGGCTCTGTAAGATCCTGATCTTCCTTTGGAATCAGTGATATAAAGGCTCTTTTCCAAGGAGGCACTTGTGTACCCAACATAATACTATTAAAAAGTTCCTTTAGAGGCTCCATCATTTCTTCAGATAAAGTCTTATAATACCTCGAAGTCAATCCATCTGTTCCCGGAGATTTTCCAACCTTTTAACTGCTTAATAGCTAAACCAATTTCCTCCACAGTAATTAATCTATTCATCCCATTTTGTTGTTCCTCTGAAAGTTTAGGAAAATGCACAGATTGTAAGTATTTGTCTATATCCAC